CAAAACCGGCCACCCAGCAGATGCTTCCGCAGTACCAACTGTTCTGAATCCCCCACCCCATCTCCAGCTCTTTTTTTTTTTTCCCTTCCTTCCCCCGTGTCCTACCAATCTAGGCTGCCTGGCACATGCTGCAAGCTGCAGTCCCACTGGAGTGATATTGTGATGGAAATGAGGGAGGGGATGCAGGCAGAACTGCACAGATTTACAGCACTCTAAGGGTTTCCATTAAAATCCTTGACAACTTGTTATTTATGAGTAGACCAACAGCTCTTCTAATATCCAGGGCCTAGACCCCATTCACTTCAATAATGCTGGTTTGGAATAAATGAGCCAGAGGATGGAAACCAGTTCTGTTAGTATAATGGAGGAGGCTAATAGCTGTTTAGAGAAAACAACTGATGTAATTCTGGGACCCAATCCTTTCACCAACAAAACAATAAAGGTTCGATTCTTCAGTGCATTTCACGTAGGGATTTAATTCAGTACAAAGAGGGTGATAAATGGCAGCGTTTGGATTTCGTGCCGTTATATACCCACTAAGCACTCTATTTGTACTAGTGCACTAGAGATAAAGGGACTTATTGACTCCTGTGCAAGCAGGAATAGGTCAGTCTGGATCTCCACAGCAGAACAGAGATAAACAACATGTCCTTACAAAATAATACAAGCGACAAAAAACCCCTCTGCATAAGTGTCATATCTTAATTTTTCAGTCTCACAGGGGCCTGTAGGCATTTCCTTCTCCAGACTTCTCTGAGCTGCCCCACCTAAACCAGTGTGGCTGGCTGTCGTGTCATTTTAGAACATTTTTTTCCGCCGTTCCCTTTTCTGCTCTCTTCCCATCACTGACATGCCAAATACAGAAGCACCTCCGCTCACTAAGCAAGCACATGACTGATCCCTGAAATAAGGACTTTGATGATCAAAACACTTTAAACTCTAGATGTGCATTATGCTGCTGTAAAGAATTATCGATCTCTTCTGCTGTCTCTTAAAATCAAACTGACAAGTTGATTACTGAGTATAACCACTCAATTGCTGGCTTGTAGTCGGCTTTCCTTTCCCTCCTTTGTTCACCTGCATCTTGTCTATTTACATTCCTTTTGTGAGGAATCTTTTTATTTCCTTTCTCTGCTCCCCATGGGAGCCTCATTAAGGTGAAGCAAAGAGAAGCAGCAGCAGCAGCAGCAGCTCTCCCAGGCTGAGTTCTGCAGTGTGGAAGGCAGGGAGAGGCCGCACTGCCAGATGGACCACGCTCCGTGCCTCTGCCTCCCCCTCGTCCGCACCCTGAGGCTCAGCACTGTGTTTTTGGAGGAGATTGACAATGCTGAAGGTCCAGATTGTTCTGCAGGAAGAGGAACGAAGAGATGGATAGATGAAGAGGAACCAGGAGGAGAACGGGTGGAGGAAAGAGACTGTTCAAGTGAGGAAAGGGACCGTGGCTGTACGATTGGGAATTGCTTTCTGAAAGAAGCTGAGCCACCATTTCAGCAGCCTGATACTCTGACTTTTGGAGTTGAAAGGGTTTGAGAATCTGGAATCTGTAACCATCTGCCTTGTGGCCAGTCTCTTTTTTCTGCACCAAAAATAACTTTTCCCAGGCAAAACAATGGTTTTTCCTATGAAACGAACTGACACCAGTCGGTATGCGATGCCCTCTGTGACCACAGTTAGCAGCGTGTCTTTGCAGCTCAGAGAAGTTATCATCTGGTTTGCATTTTACACATACAGAAACATACCTGTTAATTGGAAAATGATGTGTCATGGACAGGGACAGATATATTCAAAATACACTCTGTGAGTGGGAGAGAAATTCCAAGGGAAGAACCAACTTCTTGGAAAAGGAAGGCAACGGGTCTGACAAAAATGAGAGAGAAGCAAAAGCACCAAGCAAAGGCAGAAGAGCTCTCTGAGGCTAAGTGGTTTTGCCTGGACGAGGGAACAGAAAATGCTACGCTGCATTGGAGCAGTGATCGATCGCCGATAGAAAGTAAACTGGGCCAGTTTCTAAGCTGGACCAAACTGATAAGCCCTGTAGAGGTTTAAAAAGATGTATATTCACAGAGATTTGGCCCACAAAGTATGACTTCTTCCTTTTAGATACCTTTTGTAATGAATGCCCATTGAGATGCTACATGAGTTCGGGTATAGATGATGCCAAATCCCTACTGTCCCTTTTGAAAATTTATTTCAAGGTCCTTATCCAATACATATCAATGTAATATTGGATCTCATCCAAAGTATAACTGTATCTAATTATCAGCCATTTGAGCTACTTCTGTATTAAACCATAAAATTGAGATAGGATTGAAACCTCTTATGATTCCAAAGGCTAAATGCAGCAGTAACATAAATAATGCTGTAAATTACAAGCAAAATGAAAACTTGGTCAGAAAATATATGATGTAATTTGTGCTTAGGGGTAAATTGGTCCCTGGCTGCCTGGGATAGGGAAGGTATGACCTGCATCAGGCCGAAGTATATGGCTGGGAGTCTGAATCTGTGTCATTATTACAGAAAACAAATGACATACCTTAAAATACTTCAAAGAGCCAGCATCCTCATGAGATTTATTGCAGTCTGACCCCCTCTGCCGGTCACCCGCTTGCTGCCTGTGTCCCAGGGCCGGCACCTCAAAATAGGCTCCGAGATTTGTAGAAATGGTAGGAGCAGGCAAGTGGAAAATGGCAAGTACCAGTGTAAAAGGGATGGAGCAGCAGTTCGGGGGCACCGACGCTTGGCACTGGTAGCTCAAGGACATAGATAGCATCGTGACACAACTCTAAGCCCAGGTGACCAGGTTTGGGTTTAGGATACGAGCTGCTAAAGCCAGTACTAGCAACAGTGTAGAAAGGCAAGAGGTCTGATAACTGGCATTTGGGTGAATTCCCAGGGTTTTAATAAAAATTGCTTCTGTGTCTCCCCATGTTTGATCTGCTTCTGTCAAGATGTAAAGCAGCAGAAGTAGAAAAATGTAATTTAGAGTGAGGACGTATGGGAAAAGGTTGGGGGGGGAAGCATTTTCTTGAAAAACAATGGGACTTTTCCTGAGGAAACAAGCGTTCAGTTAAAAATTAGCCTCATTTTGATGGAACGTTCGATTGTCAAAACTGGGATAAAGCTATGCCAGGAATGTTGAGATATAGCAATCGGTAATGTCAAAGCATGTACAATACCAAATATTTTTAAAATAATATTTTATCATCCTGAGTGAGGTTTTCCACTTTTTCTCCTAGCCTAGGGAAAAAGCATTAATACACTGGACGTTCCTATGACACAGAAGAAATTTGGCCAGCTCTAGGTTTTTAAATCAGCACTTCTGGGAATTGATATAAACATACAGCTCATTTTACTTTCCTGATTCATTCTTGTTTTCCCATACTATCCTGTGGCCCTTGTTATATATTCCCATGCTGTGAGCAGCCAGTGAGGATCAGCCAGTTAAGTATGTGCTTTCTGTTAAACAGAAGCAGTCCCACTACCCACAGGGATACCACGTTGCATGTTAAAAGTTATTCAGAGAGATGCTTAAGTAGTTTGTTAGACAGAGGCATCAGAAAGTAACTGAAAGCCTGCAAACAGTTCCCTTAAGACCCCATCAATTCCTCCAATTTATTTCTTGAAGAATGAACAGACATAGACATCTTTTTCAAAGATTTTCTTCATATAGCTTTTATTTCTGTTTGCAGTTATTTTCTGTTACAGGTTTTTTAAATAATGCTTACCAGTATAGTACATCTTGAGACAGAAATACTCTATCTAGATTGTTAAAAAGTTTATGTGTGTAGAATCAAAACAGTAAAACATTTTGAAGTCTTTGTAACTCTTAATATTCTTAAAACTCTATGTAAACTTCTTAGGATT